TCAATAAAAGTGGTCTTAGTAATGACTCCATTATGAGATCTACAAATAGCATCATCGATGGCATACAAATCATGTTAAATGGAAAAATTTGTGAAGAAGTTAAAAGGTAAAAATGGATCGATATTTGGCCTCGACCTCAGGAAGTAACTTGATAATGAAGCTAATAAAAGAGATGATATCAACACCACAGTTTTCTGATAGATACGTAGATGATTAGTTTTAAATTGAGGGCATGCTAAATGTGATGAATGAAAATCGTTCCCTCTTTTTACATGCTTCGGTGATCAAGTAAGATAACAGTCATAAAGGGTGAGTATAGGAAACCGATTAATGTGAATAATTTTTTATACTGTAAAAAGTAATCACAGTTTTAGTTTGGGAGTGTGGATTGATAACCTAACCACAGATGAAGGAAGAAAATATCCAAAAAGACAATATAGCTAAGCATATCCACGGATCCTTATTTCAATCGGCAAAGATGGAGCGTGCATTTCTGATGCTGCCGGCGACGTGAATTTCGAACACTTTATTTGAGATGTGGTTAATGAATGGGAACAAACTAGACAAAACCAAACATCCAAACCGGAATTTTCCATGAATTTAAGTCGATTTATGTTTTTTGAGCGCACGGCTCTAAAGTCTGTTACATTATAGATGTGAATGCAATTGCTAGAGGTAGCAATAAATAAAGCTACTTTAGCTACGTCTGAATCGACGGTTTGGACAATCTGACTATAAACGTACCTTGCCCGGAAAGTCTCATATGCTCTGTGATTCAATGACACCCGTTGCTGTGCAGAAGCGGTAACGTGTCATCATGATTAGCATTACCCAACTTCGAATCATGTTGGGGTACCGCAATTTGTTCGGAATGGGAAAGCATTTTGGGAGGCAAGGCTAAGTAAAATTCTATGGCATCCTGTCAGTTCCTAACTAAACCTAGGCGACATAGGATGAATAAATTCTTATCCAAGAACTACTGATAGTTTTGAAATAGTGTCAGACCTTTTTTATACTCTTCGCAATTAATGAGTTCTTGATGATAACCTTAAGCTTCTTGTGTTGGATCTATTAAGAGCAGCTTAATTAAAAGCCTACACAGAAATGCAACATACTTATTTCTTCAATCCAGTGTTGCGGCTGTCGACGCTTTCCTGTGGCCAGAACTTGTCTAGCAATGTCTTCGAACATGACGGGCCGCATTTCTAAATTCATGAGAAGCAGTGACTCAAGTTGGGCCTTTGCACGCGACAACTCGTCCGTGGCTATCGGAGCGCTCGCAGTGTGATGTAGCTCGCCAATAAGGCTGTGCACGAGCTTTCCGAGGTGTTTCGGATCGGCACTACCAGACAAGGCTAGTATGCCAGCGTCTGTGTACGAGTGATGTGTAGACTGTGCAGAATTAGCCCAATAGTGTCTGTCGATAAAGTTAAAGAACCAATTGGTGTACATGAGTTTCGGATATAAAAATGGATATTATGGTAAAACTATAAACGAGGTCAACCAAGTGTTAGGATACCAAGTAAAATACAAAATATATATTTTGTATTTTACTTGGTCCACCATCGATAACAAGAAAAACATTTTAAAAATAGGAAAAAAAGCTTATTTCTTAAAGCCTGTCACAACAAAAAGTTAACTAAGAATTAAGTTAAGCTTAGGATAGTAGAGATGGGTATGCTAATATGAATGCAGAAGAATGCTAGATCTTGTGTATAGCAGACACAATAGAAGAAGTATTTAAAAGAAAACTAAGAGGAAATGGACCTTAATCATCCTCCTAAATCGCTTCAGGTGATGAAAGGTCTGGTAGTTTAATTTCCCACAATATAACGAACCTCAACTTCAGATCTTTAATTGCCTAGAGTGAATTAAGAACAAAGTCGTTATGAAAATCAGATCAGGAATCAGGATGAAAACCAAAAGTGGATTTGCCTTCCCTCATCATAACTAAGCCAACAATTGCGACCGATACTAAGGAAATGGAATATCAGGGTGATAGCAAAGGAGAAGAAGACACTTCTCACTAGTCTGCCGACGCAACATGAGAAGACTGACAAACTTGAATGCTCGGGAGTTTA